AACCACTGTGCTGTAATAGTATTCCTAGCCAAGACAGCTCTAGAAGACATTGGAAAACAACGGGAATACAAAAGTAATTCTTACTCTAAAGCTGGTTATTGTGCCTGCGTGTATGTGCATTGTCATGCTTTAACTTTGTAGATACTCAATTTAACTTTATATGTATGTGTGTCTGCATGCACGCATGCATGTACATGTGTGTGTGGTGTGTGTATGCACACTCAGTATTTATGTCCAGTAAGACCCACCCTTAGGGAAAGAAAGTAAAAGAAAGCAATTGACAATTGTTTTCCTGGAACAGAAAAGAGGGAGGACACAGCACAGCAGCCAGAGAATTGTCCAGTGGGAGTATGTAGTAGCTTGCTGTCCAGACTGAATAGCTTGCACGCAAACTGTTGCCAGAGTGTCTCATTCTGGACAGGTTTTCGTCAGCCAGCTTAGAGTCAAGCTGACATGAGCACAGGAGAGGAACAGCTTAAAGGAGCAGTGCAGTTATGCCCAGCATCTGTTCCCAAGAAAGAAAAAGCTGAGTTGCCTTTTGCTGAAATCGTGCGCCTGTTCCTAGTTTGCAAAGCCCTGTCTTTGTCAACGGACCAACCCCTCTGCTGAATTAGCCGCCTCTCTCACCTGAGAACGACATGACAGGGCGTTGAAGAGGTCAAAGAAGACAAAGCAAGTAAAAGTCATTGTTGTCGTCCGGGGTGTTACGCCACTTTCCGGAATCTGGAAAGGCAACGTGATAAAATGCGTTTGTAACAGAGAGAAGGAAAAACGAGTGTCAGCATGGATACTGAAGACTGCAAGCCCTCCCCTCCCACAATGAACCTTTTGTTTATAAAGACACAGTCACCCTGAAAACAGGTTGTACTTCTCTTAAAGACCAGAAGTACGGTGGTAGAGTCAAAGCATATAAATATCATGGGCATAAATCGGTATCTGGCGATGGAGGAGCAACCACAAGATTTATCAAAGGCTAACGCAGAAAATCTGCCCCATTTTTGCACTCTAGCCAATTTCCACCTGCAAAACAGGTTACAGCTTTCTTGGGGAATGCTACTGAGAACGAGATTGCATGTCT